CTCCACAGAGACAAATGGGGGTGTGGCGAGAACCCAAGCCAGGTGGTGGCCTTGGTCCGACCTCTGCCCAGACCCCCTGGCCTGGCCAGTTTAACCTCTGACCCCACTGACAAGTGGCAACTTCAGGCTCAAGTGGGCAGGAATGTGGGGCGGCTCTAGGCCGTCCTGGGCAGCAGAGCCAGGCCAGCCGCTGTCGCCCGCAGGGTCTCCCCGGTGCCCAGCCACGGTGGGCAGGGAGGTGGCCGTCGGCCCCTCAGAGAAAGGCCTGGAGGCCGGAGGCTTCCTTGGGCCCTTCTCCATTCTGGTAAACACCCATGCACACGCGCACACACATGCACGTGCACACACACGCACACGCACACGCACGCACAGGGGACCTCCGCTGCCCCAGGAGGCACAGGTGTTTGTTCGCTGGTGTTCGGGCGTCCACGGCTGTCTCTTCCCGGCTCTGGGATGCAGGCCGGACGGCCGAGCCAGGGCAGGATTCCTCTCTCTGCCTTTCTCCCCCTCCTGGGGCACCACCCCCCTGCTTAACCCTCCCGGGGTCCCCGCGGGGGGCAGGGGGCAGTGAGGTGTGGCATCCGCCCTGAGCCCAGGAGCGCAGCAGAGCTGGCCCAGAACATCCCTGCACCCGGGCCGAGGCTCCAGGGGCCCTGCCTGCCTAGTGGGCAGCTGGAGAAGGGGGTGCGGGGGCGAGGGCAGAGGTAAGAGGTGGTGAGTTGGGGCACGGAGACCAATGAGCTGGGCGAGCGGCTAGGAGTGTGGGCATGGCGCCCGAGTCACCTTAGGGGCATCGTTTGGCCTCTCATGGTGCAGATGGGGAAACCGAGGCCAGTGACATGCCCAAGGCCCTTGGCCCGCAAATGGGGTGTGAGTGGGGCTGCTGCTGCTGCTGGGGCCCAGGCCTGGGGCTTGGCGCCCGGAAAGGAAGAGACGGGGGTGGAGGCCCGATGGCACCCGTGGTCCGGCAGCGTTCCTCCCCGGGCCCCGTCACAGAGTGACCCTGCTCTGGCCGCCTGCGCTGTCACCACCTGGGCATGTGCCCGAGGGCGGCCCGCTGGCTGCTGTGGGCAGCCCTGGCTCTCTGAGCTCTCGGAGGGCGAGCCCGGCTTGTTTACCCTGTGCCCGGCCAGCCCTGTGGGCACAGCAGCTGGGGTGGAGGCGCTTACGGTGGTTGGTGCCGAGTGGGGCCTCCTTCCCCTCCCTCAAGGGGTCCCAGCGCCCCGGCCTCCAGCCTGGGGACCTTCCCCTGAGGACCGGCCGCCCCAGAATCATCTGGCTCAGCAGTGCCACAGCGGACGGGGCCTGTCCTGGGGTGTGAGAGGGACCCTGAAATCCCCCCCCTCCCTCCGCGCCTCTCCGCTCCATCCTGGTGGCTTCCTGTCCCCTCGGGGCCGTGGCTCAGCCCTGACAGGGGCTGTCCTTCCTGTGCTCTCACATGGGGAAACTGAGGCCCGCACTCCTGTGGCGGGGCCCGGGGAAACCTCGCCGGGCTGGGGGGCAGGGGGGCAGGGACCTCTGTCCTCATTTCCTCCTTCCCTCTGTCCCCAGACGTCGCCTGCTGACCGGCCTGGGATCCATGGAGAGGACTC